GGATACATGTGTACATATATATATGCATGGACATGTATAGAACACATGCATACATATATATACACATATGCACACGTATAAATACATGGCTACATATACACACATGTATGAGCACGTACAGAACACACGTGTAAAGCCAGTCCTGCCGTGACGTGTCCCTGTGAGCCCGGATGGAGCAACGCTGGCACCGCCCGTGCTGGGGGCTCTGAAAGGCAGCGGAGCGGGATCGAGACCAGGACCGGGACCAGGACCGGGACAGGAGGGCGTGGCCGATGGGGGCGTGCCCGATGGGGGCGTGGTCAATGGGGGCGTGTCCTCCCCGGCCCCGCCGCGCTCTCGCGCGCTCTCGCGATAGCGGTTTGAACGGGCGGCGGGCGCGCTCCCCTCCCGGCCCGGGGATCCGGGATCCTTCTCTCCCTCCTTCCTTCCTTCCTTCTTTCCCTCCCTCCCCGCGATGCTGCACCGGCCGCGCCTCCTCCGCACCTACTCCCGCCGCGCCGGGTACCTGCGCCCGCTGCAGCCGCCCGACCGCTGGATCTCGCCGCCGCAGGACCGCAAGCGCTTCTTCAGCTCCCCCTCGGCCGGTTCCAGCGCCTTATCCGCGCGCTCGGGGGACGACCCGGACTTCTTGCCGCCCAGCGACTGCCGGCCGCGGGCCGGGGGTAAGAGCCGGGTCTGGGCCCGGCGGCTGCGGAACCGCAGGCGGGAGACGCGGGGGAAGGAGAACCGGGAGCCGGAGCCGTCCCTCTCCTCGCCTCTCTCCTCGCCCTCCCCGTCCCCGCCGCGCCGTGCCCGGCGCCGCCGGCAGGGCCCGCCGCGCCCCGCGGCCGCCCCGCTGCTGTGCAGCACCCCGCAATGGCCGCCCCCGGCTCGGCCCCGCCGCCCCGCCCCGCCCGCCACCGGCAGCCTCGTCTCGTTCAGCTCCGCCACCGACGGCGGCTCCGGGTCGTGCTCGGGGCTCGGGGACAGCCCCCCGCCCCGCCGCCCCCGCCGCGGCGCCCCGCAGGTCCGGCTCGCCCCGCTCCTGCTCAGCACCACCATAGAGAGCGGATCGGGGCTGGAGCATCACCCGCCGCCCGCCGGGCATCGCTCGGGGCAGCGCCCGGCGCTGCGGGGCGGGAACAGCACCGAGGAGGAGGAGGAGGAGAAGGAGGAGCGGATCGCACCCGAGAGTGCTGAGCCCGACCCGGGGCTGCAGGAGCCCCGCCTTGTGCTGAGGTCGTCGGTGCGGGGGGAGCCCTGCCGGGCACAAGCTGCCTCGACCTCGCAGAAATCCCCAAGCGCTTTGCCGCCCGCTCGGGGTGAGACACAGCACGCTGCGCCCTGCGACGGTGCCACTTCTGATGGGCCGCGTGAGCATCTCACCAGAGACTCAGCAGAAGGGAGCTCGGGTTGTCACACAGGCCTAGCCAAGGAGTACCAGCTTGTGCCAGTGGTGGTCTTGGACCGTCAGGAGGTGCCAAGGAGGATGGCGAGCATGAAGCTCAACAAGAAGGCTGATGTTCAACCCACCTGCCAGCAGCCAGAATCTCCCGTGGGCTGCCCAAGAATCTTGGAGAGTAAATATAAAAGGACCAAGCCTCTCCAAGGCTCTGGAGAGGGCAGCACCTGCAGGAAAGCCTGTATCAGTGGCTTCAGCGCCAGCCGCTGGGGGAGGCACACGAGGCTCCGCCCAAAAAGGCTCAGAAACAAGAGGCAGCAGCAGCCTAACAACTACTCCCTCAGACCACAGGCGAGGCAAAAACGAGCGCAGAAGGGTGTTCTGGAGGTGTCTGTAGGTGTAAGAGATAATGACTGTTCACTCCTCAATAGCTCGTATTCCTGGGCCAGAGTTCGAGCGTCCCTGTCCTTCCATAAGAAGAAGAGAGTGACCACTGAGGACAGTTTCTGCAGCAGCATCCTCTGTACCCCGGCAGGGAAATCCCAGCTGTCAGGGTACCAAGCCAGCCTGTCGGCTGGGAGGGATCAGGGCTGCTCCTGGTCCGCCTCCTCCATTATCCTGCTGGCTCCCAGGGATTCCTCTGTCCTGGAGCTGATGCTTACAGACGCAGAGAAGGTGTTTGGGGAATGCCACCAGGAAGGGCCCGTTGCTTTTGAGGAATGCATTCCCTTAGATAAGATGAAAGATTGCAAGAAAATTGGAGAAGGGGTGTTTGGAGAGGTGTTCCAGATCAACAGTGAGAGAGGGCCTGTGGCCCTAAAAATAATTCCGATTGAAGGGACTGAGAAAGTAAATGGTGAAGCTCAAAAGAGCTTTGGGGAGATTCTGCCTGAGGTAATAATTTCAAAAGAACTCAGTCTTCTGTCTGAGGAATCTGTGAATAGGACTGTTGGGTTCATCAGCCTGTACTCTGTGCACTGTGTTCAGGGGGCCTATCCCAAGTATCTCCTTGAAGCCTGGGACAAATACCACAAAGAAACGGGATCGGAAAACGACCGGCCAGACCTTTTTGGGGACGAGCAGCTCTTCATGGTTCTGGAGTTTGAATTTGGAGGCAGTGACTTGGAGCACAAGAGGTGCAGTTTCTCCTCAGTGGAATCAGCAAAAAGCATTTTGCACCAGGTCACTGCCTCCCTGGCCGTGGCAGAGCAGGAGCTGCACTTCGAGCACAGGGACCTGCACTGGGGGAACGTGCTGGTCAAAAAAACAGATGCAAAGGAACTTCAATATGTGCTGAATGGGGCAACACACACGATCCCCACAGCAGGGATTCACGTCAACATCATCGACTACACCCTGTCCCGGCTGGAGAAGGATGGGCTGACCGTGTTCTGTGACCTGTCCACGGATGAGGAGCTGTTCCAAGGCACAGGGGACTACCAGTTTGACATCTACAGGCAGATGAAAGCGGAGAATTCCAACTGCTGGACTGACTATCACCCTCACAGCAACGTCCTCTGGCTGCACTACCTGGCAGATAAACTTTTGAATGTCATGAGGTACAAGAGAAAGGCATCAACTCCTGCCCTGAGGAAAATAAAGACACAGCTCAACAAGTTCCGCAAGGAGGTGCTGACCTTTGAGTCTGCCCACGATGTTTTACTCAACAGCAGCCTTTTCCAGTGACCAAGGACTAAGTCACTGATTCTGCCTTTCTCCTCTGCTTTTTTTTGGATACATGATCTTTTTACATGTTGGCACAAAGAAGTGTTATGATTCCCAGTGTGAATAATACACTATAAAAAATGTCTAAAAAAATCCCCCCAAAAAGTCTTCTGCTCTAAGATTTTTCCATATCTACTGTTTTTGAGGGGGGGTGGAGGGGAGACAACCCTTCCTGTCGACTTGTGTCAACTTTTGTCAAGTGGACTTTTGAGAAAGGTTTGAATAAATAAATTAAGGCTCAATAAATGCTTTGAATTTCACATAATTTTTTTTTACCTTTTTAGTCTTAGATTATTAAAGGTTGTTTTCTTACTATATTGGCTTTTTATACATTTTCTTTTTTAAAGGAAAAAACCTTCAGTTCTGGACAGTGAGGACAAGGGTGAACATTGTTGCTTCCCTGGAGACAGAAAGGGGAAAACCCACCCTTTTATTTAGTTTTAAAACAGAACTTTTGTTCAGTTTGGTGAAATTTCTACCTGGAATGATGGTACAAAATGTTAATATGTAAAAGTTTCTGTAAAGTGTTTTAAACCCACTAATCTGGAATATATGGGGAGGGGGTTCCCTCTCTTAAGGACCAAGGAAGATGTATCTGATTTTGAAAAAAAATAAGACAAAGTACGTGTGTTCTTGATGTGGTTTTGATGGTTATAATTTTGTGACCTTGTATGCTGATAGGAACCCAAATCCGTAACTTGGTAGTAGCACTTGAAACAATTTCTCCATTTATCACAGAAGAAAATGCAGAAGTTAATAGTTGTTCTTTAGTCCTGACTGCAGGTGCACCAGGTGCCCTAAATTGGGAGCTATCCTTACATTAAATCCCAGCTCTTTGTTTTCAGAAGTCCTTTGCCAGTATTCACATTCATTAAAGAAACTGGTCTAAAGAGAACAACGAACCAAGTGAAAAGTGAATTAGATTGTTAACCAGTGACACAGATGCATTAAGAAATTAAGAGGCAGCATCATCAAATTCATTATAACTGGAGTGCTCTCTGTGCAGCCTGTCTATGTAAATGTGTATATGTGCACTTTACCAATTAAAAGCATCTTTGACCCTTTCTTGAAGTCTTCTTTGTACAAGCTCAGCAGTTGGAGACCCTGAGTACCCCCAGCTGTGATGGTTTTACTGTGCTGCCTTCCAGACTCCCCTTGTGCTGTCCAGTACCACAGAAAGTGACTCAACAACCTGCAGTGCTTGAAATTATTAAGATGGAAATTGTACTGGGATCTTACCAGGCATCCTCTCAATCTTGTTTTCATCTCTAATTGACTAAAGTAATGCAATATATTTGAATATTCTGTAAACCTACTTGGTAAGGACTGCAGTGAATGCTTATCTGATATAAGGATGTTCTTTAGTCACAATGGTGCTATTTGGATTTATGCTTTTTAAAAAAAAAAAAAAGATAAACCATGTTATTCTTTACCTGCCTTGGTCCTTTGTTTCTGTGGTTTGAGAACTGCTGATTTGGGCTGTGCAGGAAGGATGGGACAGTGGCAGGAACTAAGAAAGGAGAGGTGCCATCCCAGGGGTGACATGGGGCAGTGGTGTTGGAGCAGCCCATTGTTACTACAGATTTTGAAAGCTGCCATTGCCTTGGAATGTTTCTCTGCAAACCAATTTGCTCATTTGTGAATGTGTAGTGATTTTCATTATTCAAAATTTAAAGCTTCTGCTCCTCACAGAACTGGACATTAAATTAATGTAGAAACCTTTGCCTTAAACTGTGCTTCCAAGGCAGTGCAGCTGCCAGAGATGAGCCCTCCTTTTCTTTTTAAAGATGCTCTCTGATTAAAATAAATACAGAAAAAAATCTTGTGTACTAGCCAGTGCCCATAAATTTTAATGGGAGTCAGTTCCCCATAAATTCCAAGAAAGGAATCAGAATGGTAACTTCCTCCTAATCAAGATAAATGCCCTGAACAAATATTTTCATCCCAGTCACTTGGAGTGAAAGCTTTACTTGGAACAGAGCAGGATTATATATTTTAATGCTCTGTTCTCCCTGCTAAGGAAGGAGGATGCCAGAACCCAGTTTGCCACTTCAGAAAACACAAGTTTTTTTTTTAATTTGTGCTACACCTAAATTAGGCCCTTCAAGGGTGCTCCGTCTTTTACTGAAAGAAGGAAGTATGAGCAAAGTTAAAATTATCCTAAGGGAAGATTTTTCACATGGATCCAAAGGCTTTGGAAGGCTCAAAAGAACAAGCCTGGTTTCATGTAACCAGTGACTGATAAGTCAAATGGTCTCCAGGTAGGAATTCTGGTGTTTCCAGTTCACTGTGGATTTTGTGGTGAAGACAACACCACTCAGTGATATTCATGGTGATTGCAGACCTATTTTGGATCATGCTTTCATTTAATTGCTAAATCTCTGAAAATTTTGCCTATTTTGAGGGAAAAGACAGGCAAAATATCAGTTACCCTGTAAATACTCTGTAACTCGCCAGGGTACTGATAAAACATGGTGACTGGTGTATTTTCTGCCCATCATTCCCTTCTGGAAAAATCAGACATTTAGTGCAGGAATATAAAAATTATCTCTTGCCTTGAGGGAATGCCTCCCCAGCCATGAGCTGAATTAGAAGGAAGAGCAGCTCTGGCCTGGTTGTAGAGAGAAAGGATGAAGAGCAGCTACTCAGAGTATCATTTAGAGGCAGGGAAAAGGGAAATTAATGATTTCTACTCACAGTTGTCTCCTTGAGCACAGGCTGCCCAGTTCTGCAGTCACAGACTGCAGCAGATAGTGGTGTTGGTTGGCCACAGTGACCAGCAGGAGAGGATGGCTGCCAAAGGATCAGGAATGCTCTTAATGTTGGATAAAAACACTGGGAAATTCAACTCAGCCTAGGTCTGCTCCCATAAAACGAATTAGGCACAAATAGCCCAATAAAAGCTTGAGAGCCTTAAATCAGATAAATCCAGTATTTAGGCTCTAGTCCTAACAACTGAAATGCTCCCTCCCTCCCCTGGAGCTCATTGCAAGGTTTGTTTGGGTAATAAATTGCTTCAGTGTCTGTGCTGGGTTTCCTTTCAGCAGTTTGCTGTGAGCTGTGGGGCTGTTCTACAACCCCACCTTGGCTGTCACCTTCCCAAAATAAGTTTTTGGGGTGGTTCAGGACAGGAGTTGTCACATACGAGTCACCTCCATTAGTGAAACGTTCATGGGCACCCTTCAGTGTGGCCCAGCAGTGACTCCTATCTAGAATCAGACAGAAAAAGGGTCCTTATTTAATGAGAGGCCTGAAGCATCCTGGTTCTGGGAATTACTCCCTCCAATTGCTTTCACAGGCAGGACAATAGAATAGCCCAATTAATTATTCAATATCCAGGGTGTGTAGGAAAATGCCTCTTAATATCAAAGGCAGACACTTCCATGCTTTTATGTAACATTTTATCCCTCCTGTTTTACAACAAGGCTGACTTTAAGCTCTGTTCCACTTGATCAGCTCTTCAGTCAATCTCCAGAGTATATTTTTACAGTGAAGTGATGCCTTCTGGTTTATGTAAGGCCAGGGGAACTGAGCAGCTCTTTGCTGTAGTGCTGTGCATCAGCCTGAACCAAAATCTTATGTTCATAATTAAATGCCAGTGCTGGGATTTTTAGGATGATTGTAGTTGTTCAAAGCTTGGTCTGTGCTCTGAGATTCCCAGCCACGAGAACACCCAGCCATGCCCACGGAGGCACAGAGAGCACTGTGTGAATTGTGGTATTATGGAAAGGATGAATTGAATGGAAAGTCATGTCAGCAAGAGGACAACGCTGAGAATTCGAAGAAAACGTCTTTTGCACAAAGATGACATTTTATATGAACTCTAAATGCAAAATCTGGATAACAAAACTACCATGACTCACAAAATCTGCCTTGTCAAAGCCAAACGAGCAGCACAGATGGATGGTCCTGTTGCTGCAGTCCATGCCAGGGAACTGAAAGCAAACACAGATCAGGTCACACCAAACAGTCCTAATTTTTCTAAGGGAGCAGATTCAGAATACCTTTACATATACACACAGATCCTCTGAAACCCAAAGTTCCCATGACCTCAGCTGAGGAGAAGTTGGAACTAAAAGACCCTCTAGTGATAAGTCAGTCCTAAATTGATGATGTTTTGTAGTTCAGCTCCCAGGATAAGGTTTATTACCAGCAGCATGAGAAGTCTTCACTGGGGACAAGGTCTTGTCAAAGAAATGCCAGTTGTTTACCCCTGGATTGCCACAGGGCAATGATATTAATTTCTTTTCCAGAGATGATATTTTTTTTCTTGAATAAATACGTTCATATGCTGTGCCAGATTAGAGACACACTATATTTTCCTTTAGCAATAGTTTTATTCATCAATAAATATCTACTGTCTGTGGCTGGTGTTTCTGGAGAAGTTCAGTGATAATTAATAATTAGATATGTGTGTAAGTACTAAGCAACGCTGGCCAACACCAAAGAATCTCATGAATTATTGTTAGGAAATAAATGTACCCTCAACATCATAATGCCTGAGAGCACTGACAATGGTCATTAGTGTTCATTACTGCTCAGGGCTAAATGTTGTCCTCACTTCTCCATCCTAAGCTTTATGGACACCTAATTAAATATTGAATTGTGGGAAAGACTCCTATTTGCTACTAAAGCAGCAAAAGATGCCTCTTTACAGAGCTTTATGGAGTTTTCTTGGAAGCTGTGATCGGGATTTCAGGCTGAAAAAGCTGGATTAGCTTGCAGGAACCCTGTACTACACTGCAACAGAGGAGACAGGATGTCAAACTGAACCTTGAAGTTTATGACAAGTTTGTAATGTCCCAAATGTTGTTTTGGAACAAACAAACTAAAAAAATTATTTGAAAATTTAATTATTTTTTTAATTACTTCATTATAAAATTTATAGGGTTGTTACTACCAAATACACCATTCAAATAATAAATCTTGATCCAAGTTCCAGTGGAGAGCTCAATATCTGAAAAGTACTGCACAAAACACACAAATCTTGTACCTTCACAGGTAACACCTGATCTCATGTTGCACAGGGCCACAGGAGAAATGTGGTCAAAAATAGAGCAATTTTTAGCAGATTTGAGGTTGAACCTTAGAGATGAGATTCTCCAAACAAGACAGGAGTATCTGTTTGGGGAAAACTTGGGCCTAAATCTACCTAGAATACAGTACTGCTAAGTAGGAAGGCAGCAGAGGGCAGATGACATGCAATGGCTAACAAAACCACTTTTTTTTTAATTATTTTTAGTAGTAAAAACTGTATCCTGGACAGAGAAAAAGCTCTTTGCTTGTGTTTTATTACCTGAAAATGCATCTTCTGATGGGTGGTGTCTGTCCAGCACAGGAACAGGAAACTCCATGTTATCATTTTTCTCATGTTTAATTCTCAGAAAAACCCTGGAAAAACAGTGGACCTCACATGGCTACAAGAAAGGAAGATCAAAAAGTTAAGAAAATATCCAGGCATTAAAATGCACAAATCCTGACACGTCATCTCTGCTCCAGTTTCCATCTCCTGGCATATTTAGGGACCTTCTGGCTCGGATGTTTTCTTTGGGCCACTGTGTTTAACAGCCATCAGTGGACCATGAGCTCCTCAAATGTTTGTTTGGATCATTTTATACATTTGCCTCCCCTGCCTTTCCCTGGGTAATGTGGTCAGTAATTCAGCTACACATTGTGAAAACCAGACTCCTTGTGTGTGTTTTCTCCCTGCAGAGACAACACTTTCCAACCTGGTCAAAATTCCCAGTTTTTACCTCGTTGAGACACTGAAGTAAAGCTGAGGTTGTACCAAAACATAGTTTTGCTTTAACAAGGCTGTTATTTTGGAAAATCAGGACTCCCACAGGGTTGAATCTCCTGCTAGTGAGACTGGACAGCTGGTCTCAAGCTAGTCAGTGAATTACTGATAAGGAACAGAATCAACTATAAATTTTGGAACTCAAACATTAAAATGTTTTAAGGAAGCCTGGCAGCAAGAACAAGAATTGCTCAGTGTTTCCATGGTTTGTCACCTGGACCAGGCTGGCCTATTTACAGCAATCCCAGTTTCTGCTGGGAACGTTCAGAACACACAAAATCCCAAGAGCCTGGAGGCACAGACAGCCAAAATACACCAGTGAGGGCAGAGCTTCAGAATTAAACACCCTGTTTATGTTTCCATTAGATAAACACATTATCCATCAGTTCCAGTTCTCTCTTTATCTAGAATTTTGTTTTTCAAATACAAAATGCAAGAAGAAAAATCAAATGCATCTGCCCTGTCTCAGCCTTTGTGAACTGCACAGGTCACTCAGCTGCCTGACCAGGTGTGTGACTGAAAATGAGGGACAGTATGTAAATAAGTTATTTTTTGTCTAAATGACCTAAACTATCAGTGCTGAATTGCAGGTAGACCTGGATCTGTGTTAATCCCTTTATGTTCACTATCTCATACTTGCTCAAAGCTTTAGACATACAAAGGCAAAAGCCTTTGCAGCTTGAACTAAAGGGTTTATATTTTATATAATTTCTAGCACTGGGAAAGATTTTTTTATGTCCCTCTGATGCTGAATTAAAAATAGAATAATGTCACACTGCTTGGAACACAGATTCTATATTTGTCTTTGAAGCATTTCCCCAGCACACCAAAAAATAACATTTATTACCTACCAGAGCAGAGTCACGTTCTCCAGAGATCCTGCTGCCCTGTCTTGGAGACCATCACTGGGGAAATCAAAGCCACCAGCAATGGATTGTCCAAAATACTGGAGTCCTGAAGAAATTCCAGAGGCTTTTACCCTCTAAAACAGGGGGGAAACATCAACAAATAGAAGTCAGGATCTCTCCCCTGTCTTGGGGAAAATACACTTCTTTTCACAAGGCTGCTGTGGGGATGATTTTGTAACATACTGCAAAATACTGACACTTAACAGCCTGTAATGGAAAAGGCTGTTCTGGAGCAGCACCTGAAGCTCCTTTGCCTCACCAGACAGGTGAATCATTAGGAGTTAAGGAGGAGTGACACAAACCATCTGCAAATGTGTCACCCCAATGAAATGTGCAGGTCCTCCCTCCAGCCTCTTGCTACCACACCTACCTGGGAAACAGAGCCCTTGATCTTGTCTTTATCACCTTTATTAAAGGTGGAAGTGCTGCCAAAAGAGGAATGGTTTGAAAGTTGATCTTCAAGGGGGGCTCCAGCTGCAGTATCCTCGTATCCATCCCCACTGGTGTCAACCCAAACCTTGCCAAGGGACAGGTCACCTGCACATTGAAGTGGCCTTTCGAGGTGAAAGAATGAGTCTGAAAAACACTGAAGACAGAAATCCTTTTAGAGCAAATGTAGCATAACTCTTACATTGAAAAAAATCCATAAAATACAGAACAAATCTTAGTGTACAGTCTTTTCTTAAATCAACAGCAGCTGAGGGGATCCCCAGCCTGTTCCACCCAGAAACCATCCGGTGTGCTCACCCTGTGACAGGAATAAACCACGAGAGGGTGCACGTTATTTGAATCCTGACATGCCCAGGCTGGGTTTTTTCCAACCATCCTGTGCGTGCCCTGAGCAAATTCTAGCAGGGCACCAAGGAGGGTTCCCTCCTGGTCTGATGCTAAAGTTCACTTCTCATTCAAAATGACACAATTAACTTCTGTCCTGGGTGTTGTGTAACAGATCCTGCAGCCAGGGCCACACAACACTTGTTTTCTCCATGTCCTGGGATCCAAAGTTTCAGCAGCTCCCCAACAACACATGTGTTGCACAGAACACTTGGCAGGGCAAGGGCTGCACTAAAAACTTGTCTGTGTCCAGACAAAACCCAGGATTTTACCACTCTGGGATAGGAGCACACCTTAAGTCCTGAATGGTTTTATTTCTTGCACTGAGTAGTTCTATTTTTTTATTTCTCTTTCATTTGCTCGTGACTCAGGCAGGAGCACTGGCTGCAGCCCGCAGTCCTCTACCATACAGGGAGAGCACGTCCAGCGGGAGCACAAAGCAGGAATGTTTTATTTGTCACTGCTTAGGCACGGCTGGAAAATCCCCAACATGGAGTGTTTACGCTACCAGTGTTTTCACCTCTGTCTCCAGGCGATGGACGTAAACCCTCCCTTCTTCCCCCCCATCAAACGGAGCTCCAGCAAGGAGAGGATCTGTCACCCCATCATGGCTCACGTCAAGTGGGCAGAGCTCAGACCCTAAATAAGATCCAACCTGTGCTCCAGAAAAAGACAAGCAGCCTTTTCCCCTGGAATTCTCTATATATAGCTTTGTAGGATGGGTGTCCTTTGCAGCAGAGTAAGGCAATTTTTAGAACAAAACACCACATATCTACTTATATGTGGATCATTTCCTATTATTTATTTTATTACAGCCATCCTCAGGGACAGATCCTGTAACCAGTTTAGCAGCAACAGAATCATTATTCAACAGTTTGACAGCGGAAAAAGAACAACAAAGCTGACGACCTCCCTCCCCATGAACCATGAGAACAGAACATAAATACACCACACCCCAGTCAGGGAAATTTTTTCCCAGTCTTTTTCCAAATTTCATGATTCCTTCAGGTACCTGCTGCAGAGGCAACACACTGCAGGCTGGAAGGGAGGAACGGAGGGCAGTTGCCTCTGGCACTGCAGAGCAGGTTGGCACAGGGCAGTGTTACCTGGCTTACAACTCCTGCAGCCTCTCCTGGACTCTGGAGTGGTTGCACCAGCTCCTGCAGGACCCTGGAGACACACAAGGTGCCTGCCCAGCACCAGAGCAGCAGCTGCAGCCCCCAGCTCACTGCAGGAAGGTTTTAGCAGAACTGGATCAGCGTTGTCCTTGCAGCCAAAGCTGCTGAGTGGTCACCAGGCCTCTCAGCAGCCACTGCTTCCCTCTCCTGACAAAGGACAGGGATCATTCCTGTCCTGCATGGACCAAGGTTTTACGCCAGAGGACTCCAAAAGAGCAAAATTATTTTATTTGCAACATGACTGAGTCTCTGACTTGTGTGTTGGGGATGTGAGCACCAGCAAAACCAAAGCTGTCAACTGGAGATGGATCTTCCTCCCAGCGGAATAGAGACATGGCTCTCTTTACCCAGACAGTCTAAATTTTCCAAGAATTCTCAGAAAAGAGTGCAACAAATCACATGGACACTTTTCAGCTACCTCCAACTCTCATCCTTTAAGGACTCCCTGTGTTAGCATTTGACAACCATCCTCACAGTCCAGAAATGCTGTAACACTCCACATCTCACAAATCCGAACTGAAAAAATAAGATTATGTTAAAAGAGGAAGCAAAAAAACCACCCTTTGCACTCAGATTTAGTAACAGTTCTGTGCCAGCCACAGTCACATCTTCCTGAGCCTTTGCCTGCTCCTGCCAGGCCCCACTTTTTTTTGTGCTGCTGAAGCAGATGTGAGGTTGCAAAGCAGAAGTTTTCTTTTAAAATGTCTTTCCCCTCCCCAACTTTATTTTTGTTTTAGTCCCAGAGCAACAAATAATGACATTTCTTAAAGCCCAAAAGTGAGAGGCAGCTCCAGGAAGAGTCCAGCTGCAAAATGCACCAGCTGCAGCCCTTCAGACCCTGTGCAGCTTGTGGGACTTACAGAAAGCATCTGTTCTTTGTCGGGGCCCTTGGGCTGTCACATTTCCAAGGCTCTCTTTGCGAGCTCCAGAGGCAATGGAAAGTATGTTCAGTTGCAAGTGGGGTCATGAAGAGATGAAGAGAGAGGGAATCAACTGAGGCACAGATACACCTCCCCTTGCTGGCTCCAGCTTCAGAGCAGGCTTTGGAAAAACAGTGTGGGGGGAAAATCCAACAGCAAAATAAAATGTGCAAAACATCTGAGGAACGGGAGAGTCTTGACTCCACCTCTGCCCCTGAGGAAAATGGCCCTGTGAGGGATTAGGAGCCACACAAACCAGACATGAAGTTTCTTTGAAGAAAATTGCACAGATAAGCTGTGAGGTCGATCACTGTGAGGCGGGAAGCACTTGGAGCCTCTGGAGAAGGCACAGGGAGCAGTGGGCAGGCAAAGAGTGCCCGTGTGAAGTTTGGAAGCCAAAGGTCCACATTCCTATCCCACCCTGCCAGGAGCCAAGCAACTCTGACCAAAGCACACAGGAGAGGGTTGGAGAATTCCTAACCCTGTGTGGAAAGCACTGGGAGCTGCTGGTGCCTTTTCTTCTTGTTGTGGCTAGGCCTGCAGAGGCTCTGTGGCTCATACACACAGAGCAGACAGAGGAGAGAAACTGCAGCTGTTCCTTCACTGATGACTGTGAAAGGTTCCTGCTTTGCCAGAGCCCTGCAAACCCTCCCCATCTGCCCAGGAAGGGGTTCACATGCAGGTGGGTTCTCCTGTCACAAGAGGTAGAAGGGAGAGGACAGTTCATCTGTTCATGATTTCTTGTGTAAATGACCGAAGTGTTTCCTGACAAAATATTATGATCTATTAAGTGTGGATCCCAAAATCCTGCTGGGCCTTCAAAGCTATGACCCAGCTTGTAAGTCCTTCCTCTTTCCAGGAACTGCAGACATCCCACAAAACAAATCCCAGCCAGCCTTCCTGTCTGTAACGGGACCAAACCGGGAAGTGGTTCAGCTGGTGAAACCAAAGGGGAGCTCGTGCACTGGGAGGCTACAGATGATAATCTCCCCAGTGCTGACTCATCCTCACTGCAGAGAGGTGGCAACTCCTCAAAAATCCCCTTTTTTCCATAGCACATCAAAGAGCTGGACAGCAGCCTCCCACCAACTGGACATGTCTGTTTGCTGCACAGGCCTCTCCCTGCCCATCACCCTTTATCCATGAGCTCGAGAGGCCTGGGACTGGTGGGCTGTGGTGGGATTGGGGAGCACAGGGAATGCCAAGCCCTGTTTCACAGCAGAACATTCTTGATGCAGATCAGAAGACAAAGGTGCACTGCAAGCTTAAGGAAGGGATGTAAAGAGAAGGAGGCTGAGAGAATGGCTGAAGAGGCAGGTTATGTTGTAAGCAAGCTGTCACAGCCCCCAGCTTTCCAAAACTACCAGGAAGCAAGATTTCTCTTTTGTTATTTATCAGGACTCCAGACAGGGATGGTAGATCTGATTTTGCATTCTCTGAAATTCTCAAAGTCTCCCTACCACAGCAAAGCACCAAGCACAGCAGTAGATTTATCATATGCCAGATGATCCTTTTGTGCAGTGTGAGCACCTTGCCAAATCTTGGGAACACTTAGGACAGAGCCATAGATGGGAAAAGCAGCTGAAGGCTTCACAAAGCAAGAAAACAACAGGAGCTGGAGAGAGAAAAGTCAGTTAGCACTCAGAGCCCCCAATGGGGTGAAGCTTCAGGGGAATTGCCCAGCACGGGGGAAAAGCCCATTTAAGTGCAGGGAGGAAGTTTTAAAGCAATGCTTCTGCTGCCAGCCACGTGCAGGCAGTGAGGATTAGGATGGTTGTCTCCAAAAGACAAACCTCCAAGCCTCCTCCAGAGCAGAAATGAGGCAGAGATCTCGAGCTGCATAGTTTATCTCACTGAAGGGAAGGCCAACACCCAGAGTCTGCAGCTTTCCTGGGGGTATCACTATTCCCTGCGTGGAAGGTTCATCCAGGGCAGCATCAGCTGCTCAATGCTCAGATGTGGCTGCACAAACTGACAGGAGGTCGTGAAAAACAAGTTAACTGGCACAGCAGTGAGGGCAGCACAGCACTGGGTGAAATGTCATCAGGAATTAGATAAGGCCTTAGAGTCCACATTGATCAAACCTTCTCCTGCCTTTTGAGAAAGACTGAAACACTAGAAATATATCCAAGGATGAATATTTTCAATGAAGCAAACTTGCTATATTGACAGTTTACAGAAATATCACGTTATTATATTTAAATATAGTGAAAAGTGAGACAGCTCGTTTTTATCTCTTTTCCACAGAGTTTAGGCTGCCCCTCCTGCCTGGGGCAGGGTGCACGTCACAGAAAGCAATGAGGTCCTTGCAGACATTTGCAGCAAGACAGGATGCCAAGACTGCCAAGACTGACAGGAAGTGTCAACCACACAGTAAGTTTTGGCCCATCAGTCTCTCAGAGCCACGAGCAGGATTCTGCTGCTGCTTATTACAGAGACAGAGCAACCTGTGAGAGACAGATGTCTCCAAAATTCACCGTGTGAACTTACGGGTCTGGGAAATCCACATCAGCTTTTGTGCTTTTAAGCAAACGTGCACATTGTGCAAAGGACTTCATTCCAATACTGTAAAATGGGGATTCTGATGTGGACTGACCACGGAGCATTGCAGGTGCTGCCACAGACACTCAGAGCAGCTCTTGCTGACTGCACACTGAGTATTTGTCCGCTCGTGCCTCACACCAGCAGCACTTTGCACAGAAGCCAACTCCACCCTGAGCAACTTTTTATGACTCTATGACATTTTTTACTCCAAAGTACTTCAGTTTAGTCTCTTGTGACAAAAGAATAAGTCGATCCACTCTTTTCTAAGTCACTGCATCAGCATTATTCCTGTACAGCTCAGGGAGCACTGCCTTCCCAGAGACCACTCCCCACTGCCCCAGGAGCTCACTCTTGCTCTTGTATCTTTAGACATAGCAGTAAGAAAGTGTCAGGTAGAGAAAGTTGAGTAAAAATAGTTTCTTCAAAGGAAATTAATGATTAAAGTGCATAAAAGTATTTAAAGCCACAGGCTGAACCACAGTCCTCGACAAAATGCACTTTAATACTGATAATGCCTTCAATTCTTCCAGCTGCTATAGGAAGAACTACTCCTTTGGAGATGGGAGCAAGGTTGCAACTCAGAAAACCTGTCAAAGATCTCTGGTTTGTCCCTGCAAAGGCATCATCTCTGTTGCTGATGGCTGGGGCTGCAGGAGTGACTGCTCCTCTGAGGCAGCTGATCTCGGAGGTTTCTGTGGTTCCCGTTTCCACGATCTTGTCTCTGCAGCAGGAGACACAGGAACGGCCCTTCATCAGCAGGAAGCTGACAAAGGGACCCAGTTTAGAAGGGTGAAGGTTTAGGGAACACCCAGCACACACCAGATAATGTTTTAAGCACTGCAACCTCCCCAGTCCTAGAAAACTGGCATCTAGGAAGAACCCACATTGCAAGGGCAGGAGGTTGTGTTCAAATCCAAGCTCTGCCAGGCTGAACAAAATACTTCCAGAGAAAGTAACAATTCTCTGTTTGACACAGAGTTTCATTCCCAGAATGATCTCAGGCAGAATTTGACTGAGTTGTCAGTGTTAATGCCCAGACTCATGTTCTAAAAGCCCTGTGATTTTAACACTTGCAGTATGAGTGGGCCTAAATTTTACCACTTCTGTAAAAAAAAGCAGTGTTCTCTGCCCATTTCTACCAGAGGTAAGTAGGAATGGCATCTCCTTTATTCTCACTGTTTGTTCCCAAACCCTGACCAGATCCATACCTACACTAAATCTTTATTTTCTCAGCTCACAAGTGGTACTGTGAGAAAGCAATTTTATAAGCCAGTTGGCCAGTCTAAAATCTCTATTAATGAAGACATAATAACTTTCCAAGAGTAGTTGCTGAGCAGGAAGCTAAAAGGATACTGAAGACCTTTCTTCATAGTTTAATTTACCTTCTGGATTTATTTCTGAATCACTGGTGTTTCCAGGGTCTTCCTTCAGAACTCCCACATCCTTTGCCCAATCTGTCCATTTAATTTCCTCTACTCTGGAGAGACAAAATGCAACAGACACTGATGCATGGAGCACAGCATTTCAACCCAGATCTCACAGTTCCAACCCAGCATCCCAACCCAGCTCATCCTGCCAATACAATCCTGATGGTTTGGCTGCAGCAGCAGCACCTTACAGAGCTTTTCTTTGAGTAGATCTTCTGTAGCCTAAGCTCCATGAAGTAAAACTTCTTCTCTCACTGCATGTTGTAGGTTGGTTGTTTTAAAATACTCCAGTTCCTCCAGTTCAGGTTCTTAATACAAAGGTGACAATGCTGGCAGCTCATTTTAGCTCTCAAACTTCCAAGCTGGCAATCACCAACCAATTTGCATGTACCCAGGAATATGTGGTTGAGTCACTGCTGAGTCAGTGCTGAAATTCTCTGTGGCTGTTCAGGGTTACCAGGCTGTGAATCATGGGATCCCACTGCTAGGCTGGAGTGTAAAGGATATATCTGTCTTACCTGAAACACCACCTCTCATCTTTCTTATTGAGCCCCACTGACATGAAGCAGCCAGATCTCCTCTTCCCACCCTGGCGCCACAGCCAGGCCTTCTCTATTTCTAGAATAGCAATAGCCCTCTGGAAGAAGAAATCCATGTCAGAGAGAAATCAGGGCATTTACAGAGCCCAGCCCTTCTTTACAATTAAATCTCCCCCAATCAGCAACTACTTTGATTTAGAGAATCACTTTGGAACCCAATCCCAAAGTGCTCCTTCACTTAATGGTACCAGCCAGTTACTCTCTCAAGTTCCTTGTGCACGTGGATCATGCAAAGAGCAAGAGTTGTAAATACATCTAAAAATGATGCCAGCATGTACCACCAGAGTGACAAATTTATATAAAAGACCTATGTAAAGGTTTAGGACAAAAAGACAGGCACTGCCATCTCTGATTTTATGGGACTCGAGCAGAACTTTGGGCCTCACCTGCAGCTTCCAGACGCTCTTGCTGTAACCAGAAATGTCTGTGACTGTCTCGCTCATGAGGGCGATCAGCATGTTGAGCAGAAGGATGTAAGTGAGGATCACAAAGAGCAGCAGCAGGAGCATGACAAAATATCTGAATCTGGCATGTTCGTGGAAATCCAGGTCTCCCATCCCGATGGTGATCTTGAAGAGCTCCAGGGAGACGCTGAGCAGCCCCCCGTACATGGCGTGGCTCCCAGTGCCCTCCAGGTGAGCCAGGGACTTGTTCTGGGAGACTGAGGGGGCGTCGCCCATCAGAGTGACCAGAGCTGTGAGAAAAACAGAATTCAGGTTCTCCTCAGAAAAGGAGAACACTTCTCACAGCCCAGCCCACACCGTAACGCTGAGCGAGGGCTCACCTGCGGCAAAGCCAAAGAGGAAGATCATGTAAACCAAGAGGAAACGCAGCAGATCCCTCATGATGGTCTGAAACACAAATCAGGAGGAAGTGCTGTTCTTTATCTTGCATGAAATCACCAGGATGATCCCCTCTTCTCACACACCATAACCAACCCCCAGGAACAATACTGAAAGCAAGTTGGAAAGTGCTTCTATCCAGTTTAAGAAACTACTCATACATGTTAAAGTAATTCCTCAGTTAAGTAACATCATTGGTAGCTTAATCTGACAGTATTATAAGGACTTATTTGTTGTTATGTTTATATGAAGAGGTTCTTTGAAACAAATCAATATCCCATCAGTTCCCCAGTAAGGCTGTTTCCAAATTGTTGCAACACACACATCCCTCTCTTTCCCATCTCCATTGGGTTTGCACAAGCAGTGATCAGAATTCTTCCCTGGCACCTCATTTCACCTCTGCTTTGCCTTTCTAGTCCCTGACTCCCCTATAGACTTGGAAACACTTTCCAGGCCAAGTCTAACAGTTCCAGGGAACTCACACCAGTTTTCCCTGCTAGTTTTGAGTTGTTTTGTGACAAACAGGTGTCAGCTGCTGTCACCTGCTCTATTCAATGAGAGCACACCAGTGGCTTCCTGCAGTTGTACTTGAAGACACTGATCTAATCTCCTGCAATGTCTGTACTTCCATAGTCAGGACATCAATTCCATTTATGGTTTTCACGGTGCTGAGAGAAGGAAAGCAATCACAGGACTCCTATTAGTTGCTCACACCCAAAATCTTTTCATGCAGAGGTTTTCCCCCCAGGCACTGACCTTCTGTATCATGACACTGTAGATCCCAGTGCGCTGGAAGCCCCGGGTGTAATAGAGAGTGTTCACCCACCCCAAAAGCAGGGAGAACACCATCACTGCCACATAGTTTTCTGAGCTGGCACCATACAGGACTGCTGACAGCAGCAATGAGAACGCCTGGATGAAGCTGGAGAAAAGCAGAATGACACAGTGACTCACCTCAACAGATCTGATCTCTTCCCATTGCAGATCTGTTCTGTTTTTCAATGAAAAGCAAATTTTAGGAGGCTACAAGGAGCATACAAATGGCAGACAATCAGACAGAGTTTATATAGAATCAGAGAATGGTTTGGGTTGGAAGGGACTTTAAGGACCATCTAGTTCCAGATCTACAAATTGCTGCAGTTTTGTTATAAACTGGTTAATCTCACAGTGTGGAAACTCTGAACTGCTTGATGTAACTCCCATAACTGATATTAAATGGGAAAAAAAAAGTAACACTTAGAACACAGGCCCACATCCAGGCACACACATACATTGATGCAGATTCCTCCTCAGAAAACTTGGAAGTTCTTTTCCTTTCAACTAATTCTGAACCATAGTGACAGTGTGATTGAGAACTTGAGCTCTTTTTCTGACAAATATATGTTCTCTAACTGTGGAATAATTGAGGGTCTGACCTTCACAGACAGAGCCTGCCCAGGAAAGTCCATCACAACAAAGGGTTAGGACAAGAGGTAGAAGTGAGCAGGGATGGGAAGAGACAGTGGCAGAGGATCAATGTTTCCTGCTCACCACCTCTCTAGCAACGTTAGAGACACACAGCAGAGAACCAATTCCACCAAACTTTCACTGTGCAAAACCCCTGCAGGGACATACATCAGGATCTCGATGCAGCTGTCAGAGCACATGGTCTTCAGGGACTGGCGTCTCCTCCTCAAGTACAGACTCTGGGAGAGAAAAATCAATGGGAGCCATTCATCAAAACCAGGGCTGGTTAGAGAGTGATCACACACAGCCTATGGCTCGGGGGAAAGCTTTGCTCCATGAGCTCCTCTTCATGCTTTCATCTCCAAGATCCCAAATTTCTGTTAGTCATACTTCTAAGATGAAAAAAGGCCTTACTTATTAAGGGCAAGGATAAACAAGGGCTGAATCATGGCTCAGCCCCATGTCCTTATTAATAGACTGCATTAAATGCCAAAGATGTATTTTAATACCATAAATCATAGAAGTCCCTCAGAATTATTTGCTGTTGTGAAACCATGATTCCTCTTACCCAGCAACCTGGCTTGTGGCACCCCTGTCACTGCTAGATCCCACTGACACTGCATTCCCAGAGCAGAATTCCCTCCTTCCATCCCCTCCTGCACATCTTGATGTGAGGAGAAATGAATCTGCTGCCTCCATGTCAGTGACAGTTCCCTTTTTTTTTTTTGCTTTCTTACAATGAAACTAGATCAGAGACCCCCATACCTGAGCAAAGATCAGATAAATGCCTCCTAACAAGATAATGATCAGTCCAGAGACCCACAGGAAGCCTCCAGCTGTGAATTCCACTGGAAATGAAGGCTGCAAGATAAAAACAAAACCACCCAAACCTGTGAATACAGGCAGAGGCAGTGATGATAACCACACACAACCTTTTAAACTCTGCTCCATCCATCCAGACCTTTCCAGATAAAAGACTGGACCCACCTTTACCCGTAAGGGCTGATAGTAGGCTATGGCTGTAAAGATGATCATGAATGACAAGTACGAGACAAAACTGAAGTAGAATCTCTTGGAAGCAAAAGTTTCCCATTTTTGCTGAAGCAGTTTGTTCAGTGGCTCCAAAACCACCATCTTGTACCGGTTCTATGGGGAAACAAACAGCAAAAAAGGACCTCTGTGTCAACAGCTGGGAAAACTCAGCAGAGGATTGTCTTTTTCAGTGTTGGAGCTCAGTGGCTCCAGCTGGGGAATCACTAAGGGTTTATTCAGTCAGGCCTTGCAGTATGAAAGAAATCAACCATCCCATAAGAAGATATTTGGCTTGGCTTTATCAAGGTATTTGGACACACCCAGACTTAGGATAACCAAAGGACCAAAAATTTCTCTCAAATTATAGGCGATCAGAGGCAGGCCAAGCAGACTCTAAATAATAAAATCTGCAAACCTTCCCATCATGCATTTCTTTCTCAGAGAAATTATCATCAGAAACACCACATCAACTCGAAGTGATTTGCACAATCACACAGCAACACCGTTGAGGGGACAGCGTGAAGGTGCTGCTGTGTGACTTCCAGCGAAGCCCTCACCGGGGTGTCGCTGCTGTAGGCCAGGATCTCCAGCACAGAGTTCTCCTCAAAGCTGTCCAAGGAGGACAGGTCATAGAGGGACACGTGGATGGGGCCGTAGGTCCACTCCGTGAACTTGCGGGACAGGTGCCGGTACACGGGGTCCTTGATCTCCCTCTGGATGATGTGCCTGAAGATCTGAAGAGAAACCAGGGGCACAGGAAAACATGCATGTGATGAAGGTGCAGAAGGACAGAGCTGTACCCAAACCACCTTCCCCCGCAGCACATCTGGATTTGTGCCCTACAAGCCTGGACACACCAGACACCAGGATTTGGCCAAAAGCAGGCAATGAACTACATCTTGTATCTGCTCTCCCAGGAGTAGAACCAGATTCAGTCCAGACCAGCTGTCCTGGGTGAGACAGAGAGCAGCAGCCAACCGAGGCTCTGCAGGACACTGAGTGACTGGGAGGTGACCTCCTTGACCCCTGTCAGCAGCGTTACCACGGGTTGGGTGCAAGATGCTCCTCCCTCAAACCCCACTGCTGCACTGAGGGTGCACGTTACACTCTCCCTTGTTCCTCATCAACCCCAGGGATTCCCTCTGGTTGTCTTTACCTCCACTTTGCCTGTCTTGGCAGCGAGCTGCAGAGGATTTAATCCATCATAATTCACTATCTCCTCCAGTTTACACGTTGGGTCAAGCTTCACACCTGCCTTCAGGATCTCAACATATGTTGTGCTCACAAACTTGGTGTTCTCCTCAGTGTCATCTGCAATCATCACCAGGGCATGGAGGACTGTGTTGCCCTGTGTGTCCTGCTCCTGGAGCCTGGCTTTCTGGTGGGGATTGTTTAGGAGATAGTCCACCACATCAAGCTGGTTGGTACAAGCAGCCAAGGAGAGGGGAAGTTCACCTGAAGAGATCAGGACACAGTATTTGGAGAAAAACCAGAAAGGGGCAAAAAAGAATCAAATTTAGAAAAAAAGCAATTCTAGGAAAACATATTGAGCCTAGACTTTTATCACTGGAAAACAGAACAAGTTCTTTCTCAGTGTCTCTAGATTCAGAAAGTGGTTTGCAGTAAATAATTACTCTTTTTTTTCTGGGGGCAACTGAAACACTTTCCCAGACCTCTAATTTGGCTGACCTAACCAAGTATTGGTCTCTATCTGAAACCCCTCAGGTGGGATTAAATACATAAACCCAAAGATGATGGCAAATAGTAATTGGACACCCCAGATGTGAAAGGATCCTGCCATTCAAGTAAGTCAAGGCCTTGATTAAAGGACACTGGAGATGGCAACTCATGCACAGATGGGCAACTAGAATTAGTGATGTCACATACAGTATGGCAATAAAGAAAGGGAAGGAACATGTTGCACACTGACTCACCAAAATAAAAGTAAACTCCTTCTTTCTTCTTCCTGAAGAATTCCCCGTAGGCTCTGGCATGGACATCAGCTCCATTCTCTACCAGCAGCTTCACTAAAGGGAGGCTCCTTTTCTCTATGGCAATGTGAAGTGCTGTCTGGCCTGAGGAAACAGCAAAGCCTGTCACCCCGTGCCCCTCTCAGAGGGGACAGGACAGGACTTGAGCAAAAGCTGCATGTTCTGCACAGTAACTGCAGCCCCAGCGCTGGGCAGGGCTGGGGGGCAGCTCAGGACTTCCAACAACAGCCCTTGGAATATTGCAGGCTCTGAGGCAGAAGACAAGCCTCAAAACTATCCAAAATTCAACACAAGACCAGGCAATTACCCCTGCCTGGCACTGAGATCCCAAGCAGCCACGAGAGGATTAAGACAACCATACATGTACATGACCGTGCTGCACATTTGCTATTGAAAGCACAACCCAAACAGCAGAACTCATTTAAAAAATTATATATTATTTCTTTCTCATTTTTAGAATTGCTTTTTATGCTTTCCCAAGCAAATCCTCTCATTTCTTGGGTTATTAAAAATGTACCATTTCTGTTTTGCAGACCAAGAACTAAGTTGGCAGCAGGGTATAATTCAAGGCCGAAGAAGATGCAGCAACAGAATCAGAAAACAAAAGGAGAGTAGGCTGTTGCTGTAAGTGCACCATAACTCTGGATCTGCAGTGCTGAAAAAGCTCCAGTTCCCCTCCTTTTCCTTGTGCCTGCACATCTCACCTGTCTAATGGGGAAGCTGCTCTGCCACAGCACCACAACAGAAACCTTACCTCTGTAGTAGCAGTCAGAGCACGACACATTGACAAGTGGCCTGGGATTCCGTGTCTTTTGGTCTATTTGCAGCAAGACTGCTATTGTGTCATTCTTTCCATTTTTTAAGTTCAACAGGGCTTTCATTAAGCAGGTCTTCCCAGTCTTTGCATCTGGTAGAAAGAGAGTATTGAATGGGTTGTGTGTGTACTTTGCACACAGCTGTATTACTTAAATTGCTCTGTAGGACCAAAGACAATCATTATTTTAAAGGTTTTTATCAGTATTTTTAGTCTGCACTAGAGGCAAAAACCTTAGTATATATTTAATTAATGGCCTTCTCCATCCTCAGGTGAACATTAGAAAATAAAAGAAAGGACAGAAGGCTGGGCAAAGCAAATAACCATGAGCAGATTCCCCTGCTAAGCCATGGAATACTGAGCAGGAATCTACCTGTGTATTCAGAATCTGTGAGAAATTTGGAGGTTCTCCTTAAGTACTCGAACAAACCATCCAGTGCCTCAGGGGTGCCCCTGGTGACTGCGCTGAACAGACGGTCCCTGTCGAAGCGATTTGGGTCCTTTGGGCTGTAGGAAAAGTGCCAAGTGTTAGGAAGTTCTGGAGAGCAGAGACAGGAGCATGCCCTGAGTCCTAGTGGGACAGCGTAAGAAAGGAGGGAGGGAGGAAAGTTTGTCAGAAAAAAAAAAAACAAGTATTTTATTTTTGAGTCGAGGGAAAAATAGAGACTGTTATTTCCCAGAATTCTCTTAAGTGGCTGCTCTTTCCATCAGTTGGAGCTCTTCCCAGATCCAGTCTGATGTGCAACCCTGGCACACATCCAGAGCACAAAGAGAAGCCCAAGATAGCTGCAGGACCAGAGTCAGGCCCATCACATGGTGGAAGCACTCTGTGAGCTGGTTTACATCCCTCCCTGGCAAGAACAGCTCAGCTGGACAGAGCTCCATGAGAAGCTGCTCTGACACCCAACGTGGCTTATTTGTGTTAGCTCAGATTTACCCAAAATACACCCCAACACGTGGGCACCTTCCAGGGGCAGCAGCAGAGGCCTAATAGATCCCCTTTCTGCTTTTAATGCCCTCCTACCAGATGCCTGCAATATTCCTACGCTGCCACTTTTAGTTTAGACTTGGTAAAGTCTATAGGCCCCTATACAGGGCAGGGATCAGTAGAGATCACCTGGATCACCCCCATCAAACACCCAACAGTTACTCACTTGCTGACGAGTCCTGGCCGATAATTCAGATTAACCTTGATTTTAGGAGCAAAATCACTGCTCTCCTTCTGGTAAGGTGTCTCCAAGGGTCGTGGCTCTCCTTTCTTTCCAGGTCCAGATCTTTCTTCCTTTTTACTGGGTGCAGGTTTATCTTCCTGGACACTGTCATCAGTTTCTAGCAATCCTATGAACCTGTTCCTCTGACCCGGGCCCGGCTGCCCGTTGGTGAAGTTATCCATTTCTAGGAGAGATGGTCTTGCAGGTCAACAAAGACGTTCCCTGCTGGGGGACTAAACCTGTGAGGGAGGGGGAGAATTATTAACAGTTTGATCACAAACCCAGAATGTGTTCAATGTGACACAGAGGAAAGCAAGTGCCCAGGTCCAGTGTTCTACAGTTGACTATGGGTCCCTTGAGAGGGAAATTCAGTAAAACTCTGCACAGTAGCAGTATTTGAATAAAGGATCAGGGTCTTGAACAGAGTTCCACTGAAGAAGTTCAAAAACAGCTCATGAAATACAGGCTGCAAACTTGTCTGCAGCACATCTGAACCCCGTTGGTGAGATGACCTCACCTGTTGGCAGCAGCACAGGTCCCTTACATAAAAGGCAAGGAAAGTGGCTCTTTAGGAGACTATGATCATTGTTCTTGTCTCAGTGCAACCAACACAGGCTGGTCACCAAGTGGTCAAAATGATAAAATTCACTGTAGGCCTTTGGAACAGTGATAAGTTTGTTCGTGCTCCCCATTGAGGAGCATGACACTATTTATACAGGGAAAACACGTGCACAAATTGTGTTCCCCTCATGCATTCTGACATTTCATCCTGGGGCAAAATTAGTGGGGACTCCCCCAATATTTGGAGCTGTTGGCTCTCCATGAGAGCACAGGCTCTGAACTCCCAGCTCCACAGGCAAACACACTGCCCAGCTGCCCTGGGGACACTCCCAGCCCTGGGAGCCTGCACAGAGCACAGCTTGACCCAAACCCACTGCACAGAGAGCATCAGTCTCAGCAGAGCACCCAGCCAGCCCCCTTCTCTCATCCTGAACTCCTTTCTGACTCTTTTAAGACATCTCTTCACATATATCTGGATGTATCTCAGACCACACCCAAGACACACTGTCTGAAGTCAGTGTGACTGCAGATTCACACAGTTTGCAATTAAATATCCACAATTACCAACCTGCAGCGGAGCTTTCGTTAATAACTCTGTCTCCTTCCCATGCACTCCCTCCAAATGGTTAACAGGTTTTCTCTGAGGAGAAATCTCCCTTGCTGGGACTACAGCCAGACTCCATAGCCTGTACCAGCAAAGAGGTAAATGGACACAGCATGAGCAATTTGGCTTAGATCAGGGTGTGCAAAAACACAGTTCTTAGGCAGAAAACAGCCACAAAGCATCTTTATGCGGCTCACAGCAAGAAATCCAAGGGCTCATTTGAAGACAAACGTTTATGATAATTCAGACATTCAGTTTAGTCTGCGCTCTAATGACAAACATTCCTCTGCACTCACAGGCAAACACCCCATAATGCTGTTTCAGACTCACTTCCTTCCCCAGAACACTTACTGGTACGTTTGCTGATCCTTCAGAGGGCTATTTGTACTTCCATAATACTTTGCTTGTGCTTTTCTGTCTTCCTTTCCCCCAAATCATTTCTCAGCTGCAGTTTCCATCTCTCCGCAGCGCTCGGGAGAGTTATTTACTGTCAGTCTTGCACAGACAGACCGGCTGGTTTAAAAGCAAGAGCAAAATGGTCCCATAAAAAGGATCCTACACCCACTTGGTGCGTCCCTGGGAAACACAGGGAGCACTCTCTGCTTGCCAGCTCAGCTTCCACTTCTCCACTCAAGAACTGAGTTATTTCTTTCTGAGACCCCACCAAGCCCTGCTGTCAGAACAGGAAGAGCACAGCACTTACCCCAAGTTGTTGCAAGCTCCACCCAAGAACAGATCTGACAAGGAGTCCCAACAGAGCCTTCAGAGGGTAAATGATCTCTCAGTAGAAACCAAGTCCAATACCAACAAGTGTTAATAAGCATGAAAGCAGAGCCAAAATTATTTACATCCATGGGTGAGAGTCCTCCTCTTCTGCAGAGAAGACCATGTTCACATTAGCACTCTGCTAATGGCACAGCATTGAACTCCTGGCTGGTGATGGTCCATGAGAGAATCCAAGGAATAGTCACAGATTCCTGTTATTTACTCAACTGTATGGCTTTTTGCAAAGTGAAGGAGGGCTTGCACAGGAAATGACTAGATAGATTTCTCAGTAAAAGAGAGAGCCAATGAGTGCAGTGCTCTTATATGGGAAAGCTGCCTGGCTATTGCAAATTCAGAATGCTTAACCCCTGCCTGCACATATAGAGCCAATGCCTCGTGGCTCCCAACCACAGCCCTCTCACAGCTCAGGGGACAAGTTGGATTTGCCCCTGGCAGTGCCAGAGCCCGTGGTGCAGTTGTGAGGTTTGCCACAGGCTCCCTCAGTCAGCCCCAGGACAAACAAGAGTGCCTGGAAACAGCTGAGCTCAACTGTTCCTGTGGGAAGCCAGATCTCCTCACACAGCTTCATACACCCAGTTACAAGGCAGCATAAACTGTGTAAATGTGACCCTACAAAATCAGCTGCTCCTCACGAGCACAGGGAACTGCACAAAGCAGCCCCAGTTCAGAAACACTCAGGCCACTGGCTACTTAATTTGTCTCTTGTGCCCATTTTTTAATGGGCTGGTTCTCCAAAGGTGTGCAAATCTTGGGAGAGGTTTCTCCTGGGAGCACGGACTGGCCACCCCTACAACTGACTGTCCTTGGGACCACGCACACACCCCAATACTGCTTCACTTACCACTGACAAAACAGGACCCCTCAGAGACAGAGGACATCAACCTACACCACGTGTTTTAGTTCTTTCTCTCCCTCTCTGAACAGCCCCGAGGAGGCAGCAAGATCATTTCCCACAGCACCAGCACGGGATAACATCCAGCACCCACTGCCTCAACAGCCTTCCCCAGAGGATGCTGCTGCAAGGATTCTCACCTGTACTCTTGATGCTTTACAAAGCCATTTATGTGGTCTAGAGCTCAACTAGAGAATCTTATTAACCAACAAAATGGTAAAAAGCTCTTCTAATCCACACCTTGACAGCAGGGGCACATTTCAGGGTAAATCCCAAGAGTTTAGTTAACCACTGGTCCTAAAACATGGAGAAGGGGTGTCACATCATGACACACTGAGCTCTGGCTGTGGCTTTCTTCTTCCAGACCCACCATGAGCCAAATGAGAGCCTAAAGCAATCCCCATCCCACAGGACTCAGGATGCTGTGACGCTTCCTGGAATGTGGTCGTCACCCATAGAAACATTCCCAGATGGCTTCGACTTTGAGTCAGATGCAGGCTGTGAGATGACCTTCCTATAAATACACCCATTAAATGCCAGGGTGCCTTTTCCTCCTCATGGTCTTGCATGAGATTACAAGCTTATTTCTCAGATTCCTGTGTTTCAAAATGAAGCTGATCCAGGAACAACACGAAGCTGCTTCTTCTTTCCATGATGATTTCTTAATGATTCATTAAGATCCACAGAACAGCCTATAAAGAACAAACAGATAAATCCAAGACAAGATCTCGTTTCTCTTACCCCTTTTTCATTCCAGCCTTGCACTGATTTAGCTCAGTTTGCTTTAGTTGTGTTACATCTAATTTACTGTGATATCAACAGAGATTCAGGCCTGGGACTTTAGCTCAGACTAATGGGTTTGAATCCTCCTGGGCTTGTCCCCCAGCTTTCATTGGAGGCATCCCACCATTGCAGCCAAGGAATGAAATCAGCCCACAAAAGTGCATCACAGCAGAGTTCTCTCCGCACATCTGGTTTTAATAACTCACACGGAGGGGGGAGAATGTGCAATTTGCTGGGAAAGGAATCGCTGCCAGCTGAGAGGTCACCACAGCCAGACAGATCCATGGAGCTGCTGGGTAGCTCAGGAACACTGGGATGTGCACACACAAACACTGGGATGGGCACACACATGTGCTCAGAGGAAACACTTGCACTTCCATTTGAGAGAAGGGAGGAGCAAAGTAGAAAGAAATCACAAAATCTGCCCAAATGTGTCCTTGGCAGTGACAGCATCCGAGGTCGGTTATGGGGTTATGTCACTGCTGAGCTGGTGATGATCCTCAACAAGCATCTGGCCACCAAAATCCAAAATTCTGAGAGCTGTGAGGACTCAGGAGGAAGCCACACAGAGCAGCATGCAGGGAGAATAAAAGCAGCAATTTAATTTCACCTGTCTGCCAGCGTGAATTCTACAAAAGCAGCATGTAATCCTCTTGCTTTTTGAGGCTTTTATGTGTGGGAGCAAGAAGGAATCCCACAGTTGGTCAGTACTTATTTTACTGAGGAAAATGTGTCTGTTGGTGCTGATTTTCTCCTGACAAGAGAAACATGTTCTGTGGAAGCCTTCAATCTGGGAAGAGAGAAGTCAAACTCCTAAGTGAAATTTTAAGTAAATACATTATTTTTCATTTAATAATATTATCAATCATATTCATAATTATGGTTATAGATTATATATGAGGAAGCACATTAATTCATGGCAGGAAAAGTAATGACTGGAACCTGCTTAAACAGAAGGCAAAAAGAAGCACGAGGAACATGGTGTTCCACAAAAACAAGCACATTTTCTAAAATACAGATTCTCTGTTCACCAAAGTTCCCATTTTGACCAAATACTGGAAAATATAACAGTCTTATGATTAATATCGTGTTTTCTGCATACTGTAAATAGATGTTCAAAGTCACTTACATGTGTGTGTAATTTAGTTACAGGATTGATCTGTGGCCACTCTCAGGTGTAGCAGCTCAAAATCATCCTCATGGGGGAGGGAAGCCTGTAATAACAACATGCAAGAGTGGAGCATTAAAATTCTCTTGAAAACAACAGGTAGGGTAGCAAAAGCCACATGGTTAAGAAACAATTGTTTCTTTTAAAGGTGTACTTTCACACTTGGGAAAATCTCAAGTGTTTTTGCAAGGCCTGACTGTTTTTTCCATGCAACTGTTACGTAAAACCCACACTGAAGTGATGAATTTTAAGCAGCTTAATTTGTTAGTTACCCAGATGGAATCCTGTACCTCTAGGGACACCAGCCAGTGCCCAATCTAAAATATAAATATTCTTAAACATAATCCCTTGTCAGGACTTGTCTGATAGCCCAGGGGACTCAATTCATCTACGTGACAGTATTTCTGTAACTGCCAGTCCCACGTCATAACATCTAAAGGCTCCAATCTATACACTCCTCAGGCCTTTGAAGGAACATTCCAGCTCTCTCATTCCTAAAATGGAAGTATCTTTCTACTCGATGTATCCCTTTCTGTAGGATCACAGCCTGTAGGAATGCTCTGCTGACAATCAAACAGCAGCAAAATAGGAAATCTAGCGGTGATGTTGGAAAATAACCCGTTTGTGGAGGAACAGTGACATCCGGTGGCCACCGAGTAAACTTGAATTCCTGCTGCTTTCGAAACAGCCTCCATGGGAAATAGCCAAAAAAAAAAAAAAAAAAAAAAAAAGGAGAAACAGTTGGAGGCACACACTTGTGAGAATTAGTGCCATTCACTTACTCTTTGTATCAAAATAGTTAACAGAAACTCATCTAATTTAAAAACTTATATTCCAAACAAGGCTGGTTTGGATGATGCAGCAATATTTCACACACATAAAACCAGGCAGCCAAGGATCTTTGAATAGAGCCTTTGGAACTGTGGGACACGGCTGCAGAAATACTGAGGAATTTATTCCCAATGCTTATCTGCCTTAACCCTCACTTGCCCCAGTTGCTAACAGAGCAAAACACCAAATGTATCCAAAACCCCATATAATGGGTTATCTGTCTTTTTATGGATATAGGTAATTATTTTAAAGCACAGAAGACAAAACCCCTGAGGTCTTGGCTGGGGAGTTTTGTTTTGTTTGGTTTTTTGTTTGTTTGCTTTTTGAGAGATCAGGCTAGAAATTAACTGGAGCAATAAGAGAAAAATGAAATGCCAGTCATAAAGCTCAGCTTGCAGCAGGATTAAAAGATAATATCAGAATCTGTTGTCAGTCTGTGGGAGCATTAGGATCATTCTCATACCTGGATGCATTCCTGTGTCACCTGCTCCAGGTGACACTGCCTTGGCAGGGGGTTGGACTGGGTGATCTCCAGAGGTTCCACCCAACCCTAACATTTCTGTGATACAGTCTGGCTAAAACCTATTAAATTCTTATTTTAGTTATGAATAGTTGTCTCTAAGTAGATTTCTGAGGTAACCACCACATTGTAAGAATAAAAAGTACCTTAACATCAATCATTCATATTGCCTGATGTCTTATTTCGCCTTTTGTTAATAAATTCAGTGTAATTAATGCGTTACGCAAATTCATATTCACATTTCCTTGTATCTTCTATAAAATTCCCTAAGTCACATAAAATTTAAGATAAATTGCAACGCTTTTTCTTTATTAACAAAGAAGTCCCTGCAGTCATCTCTTCACCCCCATGACTGTTATCCCTCCGTCAGCTGAGGATCAGCAGCCTCAGTAACACAGAATCCTGCAAGAACACAGAATTCCAGCACTGGTGTCCCTGTGTCCTCAGTGATCCACTCCCTAAGTCCAGCTCCACACCTCACCCGGGTACCGCTGCAACACGACAGCAGCTGGGGACTTCACTCCTTGTACCCTGGCTCTAAGGGTGAGCTGCTCTGTGCCATTCCTAGTGAGCCAAAACCAGAGCTCAGTAACTCCCAGCCCAAGCCTCACCTGAGGAAAGAAATCTTCCTGCAGGGCTGGGGAAACCTGAGCAGTGTCTGCAGCAGTTACCAGGCAGCACAGCTCCCTTATCAGATGGACTTGAGAAGGACCTTTATGAGCCAGAAAACATAAAGCAACCAGTTTTACCATGGAGCAAATCAGCAGCAGGAAAAGATAAGGAACATAAATTTACTGAGTGCTGAATCTCCTCTGGACTATGAACTGCTCAGAGACTGCATTAACAGAGAGCAGGGCTATGACACCCTCTTGGAGTGAGTCAGGGAATGGCTGGTTGCTGGAGGTCACCTTGTCCAGCCCCCTTCTCAACCAGGGCCACCCTAAATTGGTTGCCCAGAATTATTTCCATGGGTTTTGCCCATGACTTTTTAGTATCTCACAGGAAGGTGCCTGTGGGCAACCAGCCCAGGTGGCTCAACTGCACAAAGCATAAAATCAAAGGCAAAATTGCAGGAAAACTTAAACTAAGGAAGATATCTCCTCTGGTAGAGATGAGCTTTATAATTCTTTGTAATTCTGCTAGCACAGCTATGTGCAGCACAGGGAAGCAAACCTCACTCCTAAATCCCCAAATATCCTATCAGGGCTATAACCATATCAAATTTAGCCACCACGTGCAGTTTTCTATGAAAACAGCAACTTCTTGGCCTAACTTTGTTTCAAATGCAACACTTACCACAGACACTCAGTGAAGTTACACCAAAAGCTGAAATTCAAGAGGAACACTTTCACAGCAGCACTACTGTGGACAAAAAAGCTGACCAAGACAGTGCATAATTCCAGGTTATCAGGGAAAAGTGAAGGGCAGCAGCACAGAATCACTGTGCACTGAGCAGCCGAGGCCAAGCCTCCCCCTTCAAGATAAGTAGCTGACAAAACTTAGCAGGTGAAGACACTGATAGGAACCATCCTTCCAACCTGGGTAGTTTCTGTGGAAGGGCACATGGATAATTTCATCCACCTTTTAAGACCCAGTTGACAGCCCAATCCCCTTGTTTGGGTGAGTTTTCTTAACTCAGCCCCCCAAAAATAAAACAACCCTCCCACCCCAAACCAATAAGGAGACAACCCAGACTTTCGTGGAACTCCTTCTCTTTCAGCAGTAAAACTTCTACTTAAATCAGGCAGTTGTTACACTGCTAAGTGACATTTAATATTTAAAAAGAAGTTTCAGTAGGGCCAGTGAAGGGCACCTTCCCACCCACCAAAAGGCAACTCCCAGTGCCAGTAATTCCCCCCCCAGATCATCACCCTTCCCACCCACCTCTCAGGACTCGCTGAGAAACACGCAAGTTTACAACTTGCAGCAAAACCCACCCCACTGGAATGACCAGCACACTCCTTTATTCACTTCGTGGCTTTTTGGGGTCTTTAAGGAACTTATCCCAACTAGAAACATTAAACTCTAAGAATAAGAAACAACATGGTATTAGCACTTAATTTAAGATTTTAATCCAGATCCATTTTAACCACAAGGTTGGTCCTCATCATGCATGCAAAGAAGCTTAAACTGCCATGGAAGGAAGGCAAAGCATTTAATACACCAGTTTTACTTGCTTGAACTGAGACAAACTACAGGTTTTAATGTGCAACAGAAAACTTTATTAGCATTTCAACAGACAGTTGTTCAGCAGTTACTCAAGCTTGCATTAATCTTGCATTAACTTAATATTAAGACATTAAAAGAACTACAGTGCAAACATAAGTGCCACTGGCAATCCTGTTGTCAAGCAAGATGCACAACAACTTAACAGCCCCCCCTGAGGCGCAGCACGAGGTGGAGGGTGGATTCCTTCTGGATGTTGTAGTCAGAGAG